AAATCAATTATCACACAGAACCCTCACATTTAACTTCCAAATTACCACATTTTACCACATGGTAATTCACTGTAAAATCAATTACCACACATGCCATTTCCAAAATATCATATTTTACCATGTGGTATGGCAAATGTAAACTCAATTATCACACAGAACTTCCAAACTACCACACTATACCACATGGTATAGCATGGTAAAATCAATTATAAAACAGAACTTTCACATTCAACTTCCAAAATAGCACATTTTACCACCTGGTTTGACATGATAAAATCAAATTAACACATTATACCACATGGTATGACATTGTAAAATTAATCCAACAAACCAAAAACCAATCCAAAAGAACAAAATAGCTTCAACAACTCAACCAACCATTCATTCAAATAATCCTCTTAAGAAAACTATTACAGCTTCAGCCTTAAACTTTCTTCAACAGCCTTCAAATTCTCCTCCTCAAGCCTGCTAGTTTTTCTCTTCTTCTTACTTACAGCCCTTGCAGCCTCCGCAACTGGAATTGGTCGTTTCGAAGGCTTGAATGCATCTTTTTTAGGCTTAAACCCCTTCACTTTTTGGACCGGTACATCATCTATACCAAGATAACAAAAACAAACTACAATCAATGACAGATATATGTAAAATCATTCTCCTCAAAAAAATGCATATATCAAAACACAAAACTCTAAACAATTAAAAACTTACTGTCACCGTTAGAAGACGTGCTTGTTCCAGCAGGTTCAGTAATCGATAGGGCTTCACACTTTTTGATCAAATCAGTCATGAAGGCCATGGCTGATTTATACAAATCATCATCCAATGCAACCCTGCTGATCATTGATGCAGAAACAGCTGACAGATTGAAAAGACGAGAACGGTATTTCGATGGACTATCAGTAGACGGAACTTCAAAAGAAAAGTTCCCTCCAGTTTTCGCTGCCCTTGTCCACCGCTTCAAAATCAAACTGCTAGGAATGTGCTGGAACTTCAGATTGCATGTTGTAGACCACAACATATCATATCCCTTAATTTGATGCTTACAGATCATACCACTTGACTCCCACTTACGGCACGAACACTTGATTTCACCGGTTTCAAAATCAACCTTCAACACCCTACTATCCAACCTTGTAAGGTCATCCTCCAATATGAAGACATCAAACAGTCCTACATGTCCTTCTGGTTCTATCTCCGTATTGGAAAAAATATTATACGCAAGAGATTCCTTGTACTGATCCAGAAAAAACTTGAATATCTTCGGCGTATACACATTGGCAACTTGCTTCACAATAGGGCTAGTAGAAAACCGAGAATCAGCCAACCTAGATAAGGCGTAGTACTCTTCTTGTTCTTCAGCATCCCTCTTATTATCAAGCATCCTCTCAAAGTGCACAAAGAACCTACTAACGCTAAACTCTGACTGCAAGTAATGTCGAATATTACTATTGCAGCACTCACTTAGCTGGGTACTCTTCATTCCCGCACCAAAATGACAATTCACCCAGGCTGAAGACCACTTCGTCCTGACTTTGTAAATGCCCTGTAACCAACTGTGTCCCAAAGGTCCCTTCCCAGGAAAACACTTCTCAATCATCTTCTTCCAATTATACTCAAAATCATCCTCATCATCAGCATTATACATCAAATAACTAAGCTCACGAAGGAAGTCAGAGTCACACAAACTTCCCAGATTAACAACTGCATTCTGAGCAATATGCCATGTACACAACCCATGAAAACAATCTGGGAAAACAGACCTTATACCAGCAGCAATTGCAGCAGCCTGGTCAGTAAACATTGATAACGGTCTCACACCTCCCATGCATTTCAAAAACTGATCGAAAAGCCATTCAAATGTTGTCGTTGTTTCATCATATAGAAGAGCAGCCGCAAAGACAGTCAGTTGGTGATGATTGTTGAAACCAACAAACAAAGCTACAAAAACATAACAAAAATGTGAGTAAAAACAATTCTACCAACACATACCATGTGGTAAAAGGTACGAATAACAATAATACCAACCCATACCATATGCTAAAGACTCATACCATGTGGTAAAGACTTCTAAAAACAAAAAAAACCTTGTTACCAACCCATACCATATGGTAAAACACTTTTAAGAACAAAATAACCTTGTTACCAACCCATACCATATGGTAAAAGACTTTTAAGAACAAAAACACAATGCATACCAGCCCATACCATATAGTACAAACTTCTAACAACCCAAAAACCACCTCAAATAACCTTGTTACCAACACATACCATATGGTAAAATACTTTTAAGAACAAAAAAGCAATCCATACCAACCCATACCATATGGTACAGACTTGTAAGAACAAAAAAAAAACATGATACATAATGATAATAATAATAATAATCATACAAACTAACAAAGACAATAATAAACAACAAACTAGAAAACATACCTAGTGGCCGATACTCTTTGTTAGTTCGGTAAGTAGTATCAAAACTAATTGAATCACCAAAATAATGATAATCCATCCTCATCTTCCCATTTGCCCAAAAAATACTAGCAATGTTCTCTTCAACATCAACCTCCACCTCATGAAAGAACCCAGGATCCAGCTGTGCTTGACGTCTAAAGTATTCAAGCAATGCAGTCGCATCACCATATTCCATTGATAACGTCCTAACCGTTCGCAGATGATTCTTCATATCATTCTTTGTGAACCTAACAAACTTCCGACCACCACCAGCCCTACTAATTGCATTATACGAAGAAGTCACACCAATACCAGCAGCATCATTCACCTCTGCCAACATCTTATACACAGGAGCCATTCGTCTGCTGGATCTCACATAGTGACGCAGAGACTCAGGAATCATGTCATGGTTGTGCACATTACACCAACGATAGATCTTGTAGCATTTAAACTCTTTAAACCACCTCAGTCGTATATAAGCACCATTACATCCACCCCTGAGTTCTGGAACATTACGAACACGAACTGTCGTATCAACAACACCTGTATTATCAGGGTTATTCTCGCTACCTCTTTTCCAACCTTCCTTATTGCAACAATACTTGATATAATATACAGCTGAAGAACCACCATTGAGCTTCGGACACGCTGATTGGTTATAAATCCTCACACCAAAACCTTCATGATTCCCATAATCAACATAAAAATTATATGCATCATCTGGTGTATTGAACTCTAAGTCCTTCCAAGAATCACGAACAGTAGGATCTATACCATTGAAACCTACAAACATTATGAAACAACATATTAAATGGATTCCACACCACAACAGTATGAAATCTCAATGTATACCAATAATTACAGCCATGATACAAGAGTTACCACCATGGTATGGCATGGTAAAATCAAATTACCACACTATACCATATGGTATGGCATGGTAAAATCAAATTACCACACTATACCATATGCTATGGCATGGGAAAATCAATTATCACACAGAACCCTCACATTTAACTTCCTAATTACCACATTTTACCACATGGTAATGTACTGTAAAATCAATTACCACATGATAAGGCATGGTAAAATCAAATTACCACACTATACCATATGGTATGGCATGGTAAAATCAATTATCACACAGGATCCTCACATTTAACTTCCTAATTACCACATTTTACCACATGGTAATGTACTGTAAAATCAATTACCACATGATAAGGCATGGTAAAATCAAATTACCACACTATACCATATGGTATGGCATGGTAAAATCAATTATCACACAGGATCCTCACATTTAACTTCCTAATTACCACATTTTACCACATGGTAATGTACTGTAAAATCAATTACCACATGATAAGGCATGGTAAAATCAAATTACCACACTATACCATATGGTATGGCATGGTAAAATCAATTATCACACAGAACCATCACATTTAACTTCCTAATTACCATATTTTACCACATGGTAATGTACTGTAAAATCAATTACCACATGATAAGGCATGGTAAAATCAAATTACGACACTATACAAACTTCAATAAACAAACAAATTTGTATATCTTACCTCCTGATTCACCAGAGTTAGCTGAATGATCAAATCCAAGATCAATAGATGAAGAAGCAATTCCAACAGCACTAGATGAAGAACCAGATCCTACAACGCTGGTTGAAGAACCAGATCTATCAATTGGAACAACATCGCCACAATTTACGTAACTCATCTCACCAGAATACTACAAAAACACCAAAACACAAAGAACATAACACATGAACAAGCTCGATTAGCTAAACATAAACAAGCTCGACTAGCAGCAATGAAAAACCTCCAACGAAACCAGAGATCAACAGAAAACTCGATTAGCTAAACAGGAAGAATAAAAAAAACTAATATCTAACCTCGTCGTCGATCAATTATGGAGAATCACAAAAGATTCGCCGTCCCCTGTTTCACAGCAGCTGCTCGCAGTTTCTCTCTACAAAAACCGAATCCAACTCGCGCACACGTCGATCGATTATGGAGAATCAGAAAGCTCGATTCGAAGCTGCTGTTCGCAGTTTCTATCGCCGTCGATCAACCATGGAGAATCGCCGTCCTTGTTTCTCAGCTGCTGCTCCCCTGCTCGCAATTTCTCTCTCCAAAATCCGAATCCAACTCGCGCACACGTCGATCAATTATGGAGACCGAGAATCAGAAAGCTCGATTCGAAGCTGCTGCTCGCAGTTTCTATCGCCGTCGATCAACCATGGAGAATCGCCGTCCTTGTTTCTCAGCTGCTGCTCCCCTGCTCGTAGTTGAGACTCTCCAAAATCCGAATCCAACTCGCGCACAGAAAGATTCGCAACGGACAAAAGGGGAAACTCATTAATTCAAATAACGGACAAAAATGCCCCTGACCATCCCGCTTCAATGACAGCCACACGATCCGTCCGCCCCAGATCAACGGTTCCTAGGTGGTTACTCACGGGTGAGTAACAAAGGGTTACTCACCCTATCCTAAGCCCATTCCAGGTACCTAGCCCATTTTCCAATGTCTTATCCACAGACTACCACTGAAAAGGGACAGAAACATAGATAGCCTACCGCATGTACTTTTATTTTTCCCTCCTCTCTGCTCTCAACTCTGCCATGGCAAGCAGCAGCTCACGTCCTAAGACTCTCTCTCTCTCTCTCTCTCTCTCTCTCTCTCTCTACTTAGCATATGAACAACGTTTGAAGCAATCAAGAATTGGGTTTGAGGGGCCTAGAGTGGATCCAGAAAGTTCTAGGTTGCCCATATCTGTTTTGGGTTTAGGTAATTGTTCCTCCTCTTCTAATGGGTATTTGTTTCTCTTTGTTCCTAAATGGGTTCGTTTCTCATCCTTTCTCAGAGATTTGTTCGATCCTGGTTTATTTATCATCTCAAACCTCTCCGAGGAACGAAGGACACAAGCTCTGTATAAGATTTGATGCACCTCTAAGTCTTACAACAATGTTTACTGCTTGGTGATTCTATATATTACTTTTAATATTTTATGTTTCCCTCTTCCTTTCTAATTGCTGTGTTGCAGAGTATTCCCCTCATCGGAACCAAGCAGGTAACATTTGCCATATAGTTGGTTTAACGGGGCTGACTTGCATTCATGACTCATGAGTTTCATCTTTTGTTTGCGATTCACAACCTCCAATTGACTTCGTTTCTGTGATTTTTTGCAGCTGGTTTTTTGGACTTGAGGAAATGTTGTTGGCTGATAAAAGGATATTTTGTTAAATGTAACTGGGTTAGATGGGTTCTGCAATGTTGGTGATGGTTTTTTGTCTTTCTGTTACATGAGAAATTGCTATCTACCTGTGTACTAAAATGTGTTCTCATGTTGCCATGCTTTTTTGTTTGTGGCCTTCAGACCATTGCAACAGCAGTTGGTTTGCTTTTGGGTTTTTACTCTGGTGATTTTGTGCTTTGGTTGTTTGTGAGTTTTCCTTTCTTTTTGGTAAAACACAACTTTCTTTGTGGAATAGGAAATGGAGTTTTAGTTTGGTGTGGTAATATAATTTATATTTTCCCCTGATTGCACAGAAGAGGGGAAAAACAACAATTATTCAGTACAATTTCTTAGGAACTGCAGAATTGTAACCACCAGCAAGCCTTCAATGAACTGTCAACCACCACCATGTTTTATTCTCCTTTCCAACTAACAGGTGTCCTTGATGTCTAAATGATTGGTAATGTGATTCAAGCTCTACAGAATTGTGATGTGTAACTTTTATTTTCAGGTTTATCAAGGTGCAAGATCGATATAGGTTATGTGACCACATTTGTTAAGCAAACTTTTTTCCTGCAGTTGATCAATTAGAAGTTTAAAGTTGAATTTTACTTTTGGGGATCTTCATAAAATGGTATCTGTTCTTGATCAGTTGAACACCCTTAAATTCTCTGGACTTTTTCTTGGTTGGATTGGGTTGTTATTAGCAGGGGAAGATTCAAAATTTCAGCTTATTTGTACCAACTGTGTATTCAAATATTATATTGGCCAGTGTAATTTACTACTTACTGTAATTGATTTAATATGCCCTTACACATGGTTTCCCCCATTTTTGATTGGGCCTGCATAGATTACATGGGTCCTAAGTCATAATTTGTAGTTTGTTTATTTATATTAGGCATCTGAATGCTAAGTTGTGGCAAAGCTCAACTCTACATTTCAGCCTTCTTAATATTGTATGTTTCGCTTTATGAGATGCCTGCAGGCTTAATACGATTTTGCTTGGGTTTTAAGTAGCAAATTAATTAATATTTATAGCAAATAAAACACATGATGATTCAACATAAAAAAAAATCGTTGATGTAATCTTTCTATTTGCTGAATATATCACAAGTCCCAGCGCAGAGCGCGGGCATGAATACTAGTTTTAGTTATTTGTTAAGTTTTTTAATTTTTAGAGAGATTTTGCAACATCTTAGCCAAATATCAAATAAAAAAAAAAGTAGGGTCATAAATTATAAGTAAAAGATATTAACTGACAATATGCATTTTGGAGGTGAAAACGAAAAGTTTTTGTAATTTGTAAGAACTCCGAAGTTAAACTTGCTAACTATAGAACAATGCAAGTCTCGGAAATACCTTGATATGCACCCAAGGAAAAAAATCATGCTGATTTAGCAAAACAAACCATATATTGGCCAGAAAAAGGTATGTTACAAGTGGTATCGAGCTTCTCTGTGTTGCGATAATGGGGCAGACCTCAAAGAAGACATTAAATTCCTGAGGAAGTGTATACAACACTTTAGTCAAATCACAAATCGACAAAGCACGTGAGAGATTTATGATTTATACATAAGAAATCAACATTATATGCTGAAAGGAAAGAGTTCTTCTAACTAAATGGTAACATAGTGCCACTCTACCAAAAGCTTTATAACTTGGAAATTAATTTGCCACCATAAGAAGTCAATTTTGACTATTGTATTTTTATAGGTTTGATTGTTTTTTTTACGAAATAAAATGTTTTACTATTAAATTATTTTAGTCCATTTATTTTTATTTTAGTTTGATGTATACACTAAATTGCATCATGAGACAAATAATTGGATGAGATCACGAGAAGTTAATAATTTGACTACTATATTTATATTTCAAAAATTTTAACTATTAAATTGTTTTAGCATTGTGTCAAATACACTATCATAAGAACTTAATCGGATCCACGGTTCCAACAGAACCATTATAAGTTATAATAGCAGTTCATTCATTTGATTGTACGGTTATAATGGACCGTCTAACTGTTTTTAACGATTTGACATGAAACCAGTTGGACCACTCCGATATAATTGACCCACTAGTTCACAATTTCAAACACAGAAAAGTAAGAAAATACTTTAACTTAAACTGAGATCATCTAACATGTATCACTAATTTTATTTATGCTTTCTTTTCTTCATTTCTAGCCTCCTTGTTAGTTTCTGTGGTCCATTATGGATTGTCACCCTGATTACTAACTTGCTTTACAAAAAATTGATTGTTTTTGTGAGATGATTTGAATACTTTGTTAGAAAACTTTGGTGATAAATTATATGAATTTGAATTCGTTTATAGTTAGTGATGATACATTAGTATATTATATATGTCTTTTATATTATAACACATGAACGGTTCTGTTAATAATTAACCAATAATTTATAACTGTTAATCGTTGAACAATCAACCACTTACTTTTACTGTTCTATTCTTAAAACATTGGCAAAAATTTAGGGATGGCAATGGGTCGGATATGGTGCGGATACCCCCTATCCGTTGCCCGCATTTTAGGCCCGCGGGTAATGCCCGTGCCCGCCCCGTTTGACTATACGGGCAGAGAATCCATACCAAGCCCAAAACCAATCGGGCTTCGGTGAACCCCACGGGTTATGGAATACCCGCCAGCGAGCCCAAAACCTAAGCCCACAAATCATCCAATTCCAAATGAACTCAAAAACAAAGGAAAAATCATTCAAAAAATAACAGCCAGCTGCCAACAGTATAAATGACAATGAACTGCAAACCCAAAACCTATCTGAAATCCAGCAAGTCTCCATCTAAGAACTGAAGTCTAAAACCAGCAGCTAAAAATAGTATGCAAAGTGCAATTCAGCCAATTCTCAACTAAGAATAGTCTAACAAACCCCAAAACATGGGCACTAATGAGGGCATGATAATGCAAACACAAGAACAAAACCATAAATCAGTACTAAGTAGCAGCAGCAAGCATTCTTCACTTCTTCAAAAACAGCCAGCAACACAGCAGGCTAACAACCCAACATCATTTCAGCATCATTCCAGCAACTCAACATCAGTCCAGCAACCCATCAGACAAGAGTAATTCACATCTAATGCCTACTAGACAATATCTACAAAATATGACAGATTCATTCACATTAAACACTTTATTCTGATGCATTATTAATAAATGGAAACTTAAACCTTAAAACACAAACCTAGAGCTAGTCCAGCAGGGTGATGACAGCAGCTACATCATCCTCATCACCTTTCTCCTTCGAACAGCTTCCAGGTCCATCTATTACAAAATAAAATGGTTAGAACAGAGCTGAAGCATAAGTTAAACACTAGTTATAGCAAAAAGGTTACCTGTGCACTCTTCCACCGAGGAATCATCCATTGCCATAGCTGAGAAAACCTCCTCTAAAGCTTTCAAATCCGAGGCAGACACTACATGGCAGGGAAAGCAATAATTAATCGATAAGAATACTAACCAAACAATGGAAAACACAACAAAAAAGTAAGAATTCGATTAAAACAATCACCTTTGCTATCATCTTGAATCCATGTCCTCAATATCATCATGGCTTCTACTGTTAGGGGATCAATCCTGCTCCGATGGGGGTCTAAAAGCCTCCCACCAGAACTAAAGGCAGATTCAGAGGCAACACTTGTAACAGGCACAACAAGTAAATCCCTTGCAATGTCTTGCAAAATGGGATACTTAGCGCCATTGAATTTCCACCAACCAAGCAAATCAAAATCTGGTATTCTAGGATGATTATCCTCAGCTAGATAGTGATCTAACTCAGTTGTAACAACAGATGTTCTGGTTTTTTCCTTTGGCTCACATATAGATCAAAATCCAGATCTGTGGCCGAAGAAGGATGAGATGTAGAAGAAACAGTTGTGTTCTTAGAGGATTTCCTCTGATATTCAACAACCAAATCAGCAACAAGATCTTTCACTCTATCAATCACAAGGTCAGAACCAGAACCAGTAATGCCAAATTTGTTTGCATAGTACCCAATCAAATCCAATTGGTACCGCGGATCCATCACAACAGCAACAGCCAGTAGCAAATGAATATCATCCCAGTATTTGACAAACTTTGTCCACATTTTTTCAGCCATAGAAACAATCATCAGATTAGGATCAACTAACCATTCCATCAAACGCAACCTCAAGTCACACACCTTAGCAAAAAACTGATTGGCTGTAGGATAGTTTGAACCAGAAAATACAGCAGTTATATCCTTGAAAACCTCAAGTTTCCCACACAAAATTTCAGCAAACTCCCAATGTTCATTGCTTGGCAGAGAGTTGTATTAAGGTTCCCTTATTTTCAGAATAGAGAACACATCCTTATATGGGATTGCAGCAGAAAGCATGTCATAAGTAGAATTCCACCGAGTGGGACAATCCAACACAAGTTTCGTAGAAACAGCCAGCTTAAGCTGCTGGGCAGTTGCATGGAAAATTTCAACTCTCCTAGGTGTGCAAGTCCAAAATACCACACTATCCCTGATGTTCTCTATTCCATCTTTGAGAACATCTAGGCCATCCCTCACAATTAGATTAAGGATGTGAGCAGAGCACCTCATATGAAGAAGTGTTCCATCCCTAATCAAATTAGAAAGAACAAGCCTTTGTTTAACTAGATTGATCATGGAATCATTGGTAGTACAATTGTCAAGAGTAATTGTTGACAATGTCCTATCAATGTTCCATGATTGGAGGCATTTAGCAAGCTTAGCAGCCAACCTCTCACTAGTGTGTGGGGCAGGGACATAACCAAACATAATCAGATGGTTCCGTTGTTTTCAAGAATTGTCTATGTAATGGGCAGTAACAGCCATGTAAGACCTTTTTTGATTTGTGGCAATCCACAAATCAGTTGTGACAGCAATCCTCCCTTTGTTTTGATCCATTACCCCTTGGATTTTAGACTTCTCTAAACCATAAATAGTCACAATGTCTTTTTTATGGTATTTCGGGTTGGGACTTTGAAGAGAGGGTTCAAGGTGCAGCAAAACCTTTTGAAGTAAAGGTGATCCACAATAGAAAGGGGATACTCGTGCACCAAGATCATGGTGCAGAGTTCCTTTCTAGACACCTCACTACTGAACTGATTGGTACTCATATCAGCAGTACCATTGGCATTGTAATTAGCACCAAGAACCCTTTGACTCCCATCGTGTATTTTTTTATGGACACACTTGTTCCTATGAGTTCTAAGATGAGAAGTACCGTTACTAGATTTCCCAGCCAACACCTTCTTACAATAGTTGCATTTAGCTTTTAATATTCCATTCACCATCAGCCTAGTGAAGTGAGGCCAGACATCAGATTTTAAAGACCTAGTAGCACCTAAGGGATGTTGAGGAAGAACATCTTCCACAACATTATCAAGATTACCATTAGGAATAGGAGGGGCAGCAGCATCAGCAGGTGCATTACCAACATGTTCGGGTTCCATCTGTTTGACAAAAGAAATTAAACATGTTTTAGAAAGATGTCCAGGTGTGTTCTTATTACTTAGTTCAGAGAATAAGAAGGTTAGGAGTAGCCAACATAAGGAGTTTATTCATTACAGATTAGGTGTGTTCTAATTACTTAGTTTGGTCATTACAGATTAGGATTTAGAACTACTACACAAGGAGTTTCTAACTTAAGAAGATTAGTAGTTTAACATTGAGCAGACTGTAGTTTTTAACTTAAGAAGATTAAGTCACTTTGTGTTTAACATTACTGGATTAGTGGATTAGCAGTTTTAAACTTAACACTTGAGATGTGTTAAGTTTAGCTTAGACCAAATTAACAAAGTGCCTAAGTGAGCATTAGAATATTACATGTAGATACAACAACTTCAATTGATTATCTGACCAATTACGCGACAAGTGACTAAATCTAGCATATTGGGTTGTTCTATGAACAACCAACACCAAACAAGGCTCATCGACTTACCTCAACAGAGAGCAGAATGCAGTTGAAGCACCAGCTGATTGCCAAGACTCCCAAAAAGCAAGCTACAGAAACAAAAGAGCAGGAAATGAAGGAGCAAGAAGGATTAAATCATTAGCAAGCAACAAAATAAGCAAGCACCATGGAAAAAAATGAACGATGGGGCGGCCATTAAACTTACTGGAAGGCTTGCGTTTCTGGGTTTAGACTGTTGCCTCTGTTGATGAGAATAGCGAGCAACAAGCTTCAAAAAGCCAAAACAAAGGAGCAAAAATGATTAAATCATTAGCAAACTAACCAAGCACCACCACCAGGAAAAAATTGAACGAAGTACTGGGAAATCAACTTACTTAGAAGATTGAATGAATGACGGAAAGGGGGATTTCGAGTTCTGGAACTGGAAGGCTTGCGTTTTTGAATTTAGGGTTCGACTTCGATAAACTGCAGATGAACAAAACCATGCAATTAGTCACCTATTTATATACATATAAGCAAAACTGGATTAAGGAAAGAAAGAATCGAATACTTATCTCGAAGTCTTGATCTAGGAAAGAATCCATCTGCATGCACGATTCTAGTTGTGTGTTTCATCGATCGAGACATTTTCGATGACTGGGGGCTTAATTCAGGGAAAGATGCAGGGTTATTGATGCTGGTATCGTCGATTTTGGTGGGAAATTAGTAGAGAAAGGAGCAGATTTCGTCGGAATCGTAGGGATTTACAGAGAAATCGTCGATTGGATGGGTTAGGGTTGAGAGGAAATCGGGAGAGGAAAACGGCGGCTGCGTGGTGAAAATGGGTTCTGCAGACCCTAACCCTAAAATGGGGGTTTATATATGGTGGGGGTGCGGCGTCGTTTTACTACGGGCCGGGTACGGTGCGGGGATGTCAAAATCCACACCCAGCCCGTCACCGTCTCCTGCGGGCCGCGGGTAAGCCCGAAACCGCCAACCAGCCCGGCCTCGCGGGTTTCGACTAGGGATGGCAACAAAACCCGAACCCACAGGTACCCACCCGACCCAACCCGGTCAACGCGGGTAAAACCCGTGTTGACGGGTTTTGGGCCGGGTTCGGGTTTAAACCCGCTACACTATTCACCGAGGTCGGGTTGGGTTTGGGTTTAGGTAAACCCGCCCCATGGGTACCCGTCCACACACATATAATTACTTTCCCGGTATATTTAATACTCTAAATAATATATCTTCCTTAAACAATTAATATTCTTCATGTTTGTGGAGACATATATAATTTGTTGTTTCTAATTGTTTAGAATGAAGTTGATATTATGAAGTGGAGAGTGAAGAAACTTAGTTGACGAGTAAGAAGCTTTCAATTAATCTTATTGTTTATAGATGTTTATCTTTAATTTTGAACAATTTGTATTGATCATTTGCGGTTTGCTTGTATGCTCTACATTGGTGTTTTTTGTATGAATAATTTGTATGAGAAAATTAATGTTAAACTTTTATTTTGAAAGAAACTTGTTATTGTAAATTTTTTACCACAAAAACCCACGGGTACCCATGAACCCGCGGATACCCAGCGGATTGGGTTGGGTTTGAGTTTTTCAAACCCAGCGGGTTTTACCCCAGGTTTTTTTGGCGGATAAACCCATGGGTTTGGGTTTGGGTTTGACAAAACCCGCCCCAACCCGACCCATTGCCATCCCTAGTTTCGACCCAATACACGCGGATGGGCCCCGGCGGATGCCCAAGGCCCGCGGGCCCATTGCCATCCCTAGGCAAAATCCAAGCTTACCATTAAATTATTTTAAGTATTTTGCGAAAATTTCTTGAATTTTTTTCTTATAAAAAAATCCTTCTTCTATTGCTTTCTTATAAGGGGAACTCAAAAGGAGGCAAAAGATTTCACCAACGGGCCAACAACACGACTATCACCTTCTAAAATTCTCTCGATTCTCAAGCAATGGCGAGAACCAACCAGGAAGCAATCGATACATTCATCAGCATCACCGGCGCCACCGAATCTGTCGCCGTTCAGAAACTCGAGGTTGGTTGCTCTTCTCTTCGCCTCCTGTTTAGCTTTTCCCCCTTTAAGATATTTTTTTATTTATCGGCGGGCAGTTCGGGAATTGATGGAGATTTTTACGCCGCTTCTGCCATCTGCGGGACCAACTGAGTTTGCAGCTATTGGAGCTGTTTTCATTTTATCTGGCTGTTATTTAGGGTTTCTACTTCGCTTAGCATTGGTGATTGGAAGGCGCTGTATTCAGTGTGTGATTAGCGAAAGTAGGCGATGTATATCTGTAAGTTTTTGTTAAGATCAGTGGAATTGTTATTGGGTTCGTACGGGAGTTGAGTAAAGTTCGTTTCTTTTCGGTCAAGTTAGTTTAAGTGATAGTCAGGGAAGCATGGAATCTAGGATTTCTTATCATTGTCTTGGTCAATTTTCTGATCATTCAAGGCAGAATTTGAGACCTTTTTCGATAACCCGTCACACTGTACTGATGATTCCTCGTGTGATTGCCGTTTGAGAGCACCAGGAGAAACTCAGGAGTAATTATCTAGTCCTTTTCTACCAAAAAAATTTATCTAGTCCTTAATTCTGCAATCTTCCGATGCTGTGTTATATTCGATTTAACTGGCTGGTCTTGTTCTCATTTCCCAAAGCTGTAAACTGACTAGTTAAAATCTGAATTTTGGTGTTTTGGCCTAGTTGCTTGGATCATGTTCACAGACGATGGACCTGGTTTGTGCTTAGAAATTAGACATATAGCTTGTAGCTGTGTGTTCACTTGTGCTCCAGAATTTCAGATGCTTGAGTTCTTTCGAGTTTATGGTTGAGTTAAGGCTGGTTTTGAGGCCTGCCTGTTTTCTCCTTTTTGTTTTTCTCTTATAGTTCTGAACATGTAAGCTTATGGTGCCAGATTGAGATGTTCTAAATCACTGTCCTTTTTTTTTTTTGTCTCAACTAGGAGCATGCTGGTGATCTCAATGCAGCTGTCAATGCCCATTTCACTGAAGGAGACAGAAGCAGGTAATTATATGCGGCCGTGTTCAGTCTTTTTGGTTTTACTGCTTTTGGACCTTTTGCTCCATGTTGCTGATTAGTGTCAGTTCATGTTTAGGCAGTGCCTGTTCTTCAATTGTGCCCTGGTATTGATATTTCAAGTTGCTTTCTCTAATCTGCAGCTTCAATGCACCATCTGTCCCTGCTCGCGAAGATGACATGATGGATATAGATGATGATCCAATTGAAACTGCACCAGCTAGGAGACATCCCTTGTCTCTACTCTCGGATCCAGGTCTTACAAACCCATTCTCACTCCTCGATCCACAATTTCCTAGAAGGTTGTTTGATGGTGTTTCGGATTTTGGGAGCCGTGCACCTTTTGTTACACAACCAAGACAAGTGAGAGAGATACCGATAGAGGTCAAGGACAGCTCTGATTCTTCTGGTCGATCAGGTCATGGCCCTGTCATCGAGGATGTAACTGGAACTGACTTGGCACATGAAACTGGCATCCATGGGACTGTAATTATTGATGATGAAGAAGATGATGATATTATTCTTCCGGGACCCAATGCAAATGCTGCTGCTAACCGAGACGGGCAAGATGTAGATGTTTTAGGTGTCAGTTCTCACGAGGGACTCAGGCCTGGAGCACCAGTAATTAATAATTCACTGGAATATAGCAATGACATAGAAGAAGAGATGGTTAGGGCTGCCATTGAGGCTTCAAAACGTGAGGCTGGGGTAAGAAATTCAGTAGATTTCATATAATTTCCTTTCTTTCTCTTTGGTCCTTATCGTAAGTATTCAATGGGATTTATTGGTGGTTGTATTTATCACACTTGTTGAACAGGAATTAAGTGATCCTGGACCTTGGCAAAGGCAATATCATTCTGGTGACGCTGAATTAGAACATGCAGTTTCATTATCAATGAAGGTTTTTGTTTCTCTTTTCCAACTGGATTTTATTTTAATAAGCATGCTTTGTCCATGTCTAATATGTTTTTTTTCAGGCAGCAGAGCAAGAAAAAGCAATGCGTGAACTTAAGGGCAAGGTTGCAGCAGTATCAGACGCAGGAGCGTCGTCTGAGCCTGAGACTAAAATAGGGGAATCAAATGGAAGGTATGTGTCTCTTGTTACTTGGCTAACATATACAATGGTTTCTGGTTTTCAGACTTACTACTTTAGTTTGCGCATTGAATTCTCCTATACCAAATAGCTGTAGAAGGATTCCAAAGTTGGATCCCCAATGCTTGCAGGGAAGCAATTTGATAGGTTTTTTCCCCCCTGACATGGTGCAGGTTAGAGGCAGGCGGATCATCTATCCAAGATGAAGTTGAAGAAGATGTGGAGGAGCAACCTCTCGTCAGGCATAGATCAAGGCGTACTTCTTCTAGCTCTCTGGAGTTTACCAAAGATGGAGGTACTGAGGCTGACCAACCGTCAACTGCCATAGCCAACAACAATGCAAGTAGTGAAACAGGGATTAATGGGAATGCTTTTCCTACTGAGGTAACTTGAAGTGCTTAATTTTTTGAGCATTAGCATTTTGCTGATATTGGATACGGAGCTTATATAACTTTGTCTTTGCAGTGGGGTGGCATTTCATCTGAGGAACATGATGAAGCTGTGATGCTTGAGGCAGCAATGTTCGGTGGAATTCCTGAAGCATCTGGATATCAATTCCCTTATGCACCTCATCAGTTCATGCAAAGAGAAGGCGGCCCTTACCGTAGGCCAGCACCACGTCCTCCATCACCTTCTCTGCAAGCTCAACGTTCAATCCGTGAGCAACAGGTCACTATAATTGTAACTGAAGACTCTTAAATTTGAACTACCATAGGGTGTTTCTGTTCTAGATAAAATATAATTAACTTCAATCTAAAAGCCACCTCATAAAATTTCATTTATTTGCTAAAAAAAAAAAATTCAAACTTTTTCTATTTGGAATGAGAATTTAGTATGAAAGTTACATTCGCGATAGTTAATTTTCGAAATCCACTCATTTCTTTAATTTCTTTTTCATATTCTCATACCAACTCTTTTTTAAAACTCAACCAAACTTTAATTTCTTCTTCTTTTTACTTCATCATAAAAAGGTGTGTTTTCCGCCCTTAACCTTGATGTTGTACGACTTCTTGTTGGGATGCAGGATGACGAGTATCTTGCATCATTGGCTGCTGATAGAGAGAAAGCTGAAGCACGTCGTCTGGAAGAGGAAGCAGCTAGGGCAGCTGCTCTAGAACAAGAGAGACTGAAAGAGGAAGAAAACCGTAGGAAGTTGGATGAAGCACAGGTAACGTTTGGTGCATACCACACGCGATACTATTTCCCTTCTCCATGGGGTTCTGAGTACGGATTGAAATTTGTTGTTCCTGGCAGGAAATCGAAAGACATTTAGCTGCTAAGGAAGCTTCACTACCTCAGGAGCCAACTCCAGATGAAGAAAATGCTGTTACGCTCTTGGTGCGTACCCCTGATGGGGCCCGCCATGGCCGTCGGTTTCTGAAGTCGGACCGCTTGCAGGTAAGATCATCTTTGAAAAGAAAACCGCCAACATTCAAAAGTATTTCCCCATCCAACTATGGGATTTCCCTTAACTATGTTTGTTTGTACTTTGACAGTCCCTTTTCGACTTCATTGATGTCACTAGGGTGGTAAAGCCCGGCACCTACAGATTGGTAATGCTTCCATCTTTGTGCTTAATACATATCATGGAGTTGATCTAGACCATCATTTTTATGATTGAAATCGAACGTGCATTGTTTCTTGGGCAGGTGAGGCCATACCCTAGGCAAGCCTTCAGTGATGGAGAGACGGCCTTAACCTTGAGTGAACTTGGCTTGACCAGCAAACAAGAAGCCTTATTTCTGGAGTTGATCTAGAATAATATGTAAAATGTCGAAGCTGTAGAGGGACGTCCTTCGTTATTCAGTCGACTTACTAGTTATTATTGAAACATTAGAAGTCGATACATGAAAATTGAAGTTGGGCGGGGTGGGAAACCGGGGGATCATATTATGTTTTTGGGTTTTGCTTGCACATAGCTGGAACATTCAGTTCAGTTTGACGAGGACGAATGATTCATCCGACAATGTGCGTGGCAATGAGCTAGAATCATGTGGTGTGGTGGTTTTGGTTGATCATGTACATACCCAATAATGGTTTTTCCAGATACTGGATGTGGATTTGGTGGGCTTATGGATATGTGGTTTTTGGCTCAGTTCTTTGTAAGTTGGCCCGTTCTGAACCGAACCGACTTTTCGGCCAGCCTCAACCTGCCTGCGGTTAGAATGCTCTGCGGCAGCGGTCATTCCTCTAGATTATACCATTCCTCGTCTGACATTTTTACCGTTGGCTGCTGGTTATTATGTCATGTCTGCCTGCTTTTTTATTGGGGTCAAAATAACAATGTGATCCTTCTCCAGTTCCCACTCTTTCTTTTTTTGCTTTTTAATGATTTATTAGAGGAACAGTTCATCATTGACGGCATAATTGTGTTTGTAGCAGGGGAGACTCGTTAGACATGCAGAAACAGATTGATACGATAACGGAATAGAAAAACAATACCCACACCAGAGTTTACGTAGTATCCCTGGAAATCTAGGACTAATCCACGGAAGAGCTTTGAATGCTCTTCAGGCTATTGGTTTACTGAGATGTATTCCGAGTTCGTAAGTTACAGCTGCACACTACATCTGCTATATATATCTCGAGCCCTAGGTTAGATATCTCCATATCAACGTCTAACCTTGCATGGGCTAACATGACTACGTGTGTGGGCTTTGAATGAATGGCCCTACAACTCTAACACAAAACACTAAACCGCAGCCTAATTAAGGTGATACGTCAACATCCTCCCCCAAATTGATGCCGATCTCGAAGCATCAATTTGTTCCCAAGATACCAATGCCGACTCGTAGAAAATGCCTTAGTAAACAGATCTGCTACCTGCTCCTCGGTCTGTAAATGATGCAAAACAATGGTCCCATCACGAACTAGATCTCTGATGTAGTGCACATGTATTTCAATGTGCTTTGTATGGTCGTGGAGCACATGATTGGTAGCTATACGAATCGCACTAGTGTTATCCACACTCAAGGACAACGGCGCAGGACATGTGATACCAAAATCGGATAGGAGACGGCGAAGCCAAACAATCTCAGACCCAACTTCAGACATCGCTCGGTATTCAGCTTCAGTAGACGATTTTGAGAGTTTATCCTGCTTCTTATAGCGCCAGGATATATAAGCTTCACCGAATTGCACACACCACCCCGAGGTTGACCGACGAGTATCAAGACACCCGGCAAAATCGGAATTAGAGTAGGCACAAAGAGTAGGAGTACTAGAGGAAGGAAACAAAATACCAACGTCCAAGGTCCCGTGTAGATAGCGTAAGATTCGATGTACGGCAACCGGATGATCAACACAGGGCTCGGTCATAAACTGACTGACTACCTGCACAACATAAGCAATGTCAGGACGGGTGGCTGAAAGATAAATTAAGCTGCCGACAATACTGCGATACTGGGATCCATCTTTGAGGCGAGATCCCGAGTCTTTCTGAAGCTTCAGGTTGACCTCCATAGGAGTCTTAACAGGTTTACAGTCTTCGAAGTTATGATCAGTAAGAAGATCATAAATGTACTTTCGTTGACTAGGTAAAATGCCTTGATCATTGCGGCTGACCTCCAGACCAAGGAAATAAGAAAGCGTACCAAGATCTTTAATGTTGAATGCTTGCTTCAACCCATCTTTAAGCTGAGTAATACCCTTCATATATGTTCCAGTGATGACCATGTCATCCACATAAAATAAAAGAACAACCAATCCCGCTGCAGTGACTTTAGTGAAGAGGGAGGGATCATTCAGACTCTGTTGAAATCCCAGTTGCGTAATGGTAGAATGAAATTTCTCAAACCAAGCTCGAGAAGCTTGTTTGAGACCATAGAGAGAGCGATGTAGCAGGCAAACCTGATCCTCATGGCCAACAGTATAACCCGGTGGTCGTTCTATGTAAATCACCTCTTCCAAGTCGCCATGGAGAAAAGCGTTCTTGACGTCGAGTTGATGAAGTGGCCAGTTTTGGAGAGCAGCAACAGCAAGCATGGTTCGAACAATCGACATTTTAGCAACAGGAGCAAAGGTTTCGTTGTAATCTACCCCATACTCCTGTGTATATCCCAGTGCTACAAGACGGGCTCTGTTGCGCTCCACTGAGCCATCCAGACGTACTTTGATGGCATATACCCAACGACTGCCAATGGTAGGAGGGCATGGATTTAGACGATCCACAACCGTCCAGGTGCGATTAGCTTCTAAAGCCGAGAATTCCTCATTCATTGCACGATCCCAGATTGGATTGCCATGAGCCTGTTTAAAAGTTGTGGGAACAATGAGAGTATCCACTCCTAGAGCCACGTAATCATCGAAGCGAGGTGGTGGTACGCCTTGTGTCGTGCGCATGGAACATCGAAGAGAAGGCTGTGCGGTAGGACTGTTAGCTGGCGATGATGATGAGGAAGTAGAAGTTTATGTAGAGGAAGACGCAAGGCTGGACGCGTTGTGCATGGGAGAAGACAGATCGGATGGAGTGGGGAGCGTAGCTGGATCAGTGGGTGGAGGAATCTTCTCATCTTCAAGTTCATCAAATATGGGCAAATGGGAGCTACTGTTTGGAAACTCTAGTGCCGACGCAGAAGTAGGGGAATAAAACATTCGGTTTTCAAAGAAGACAACAGAGACAGCAATGCGCATTCTTTGGCTTGAAGGATCATAACAAATATATCCTTTATGAACACTATTATAGCCAAGAAATGCACATCTAACAGTTTTTGAAGTCAACTTTGTACGCTCGCGTTTGGGCAGAAGAACAAAACACAGACAACCAAAAACCCGGAGACTCGAATAATCAGGATGATGACCAAATAAGGAATAATAAGGACTCGTTTGATTTAGGATAGGAGTGACCTGATAATTAATCAGACGGACTGCAGTAACTATAACTTCGGGCCAGGAACTGAAGAAGCAAGTAAGAGCGCTCGTGTAAGCTCCATTACATGCCGGTTTTTTCGTTCAACCAGTCCGTTTTGTTGAGAAACACCAGGACATGACATCTGACTCAAAATGCCACGAGAACGATAGACTTCATGCAAAGGAGTCTAACTAAATTCTCCACCAGGATCAGAACGAATGTTTTGACAGTTTTATCAAACTGAGTCTGAACCATATTTAGAAATTCAATAGCTACAGAACAAAGTTCAGACTTTAATTGGAGAAAGTATATCCAGGTGTATTGAGTAGCATGATCGATGAACAACGCGAAGTATTTAAACCCAAGACGAGATATGGTGGGAGCAGGTCCCCAGAGATCAGTATGAATGAGGTGGAAAGGTTCATTGATGACAGTAGTACTAGAAGGAAAAGAAGTACTAGAAGTTTTGGCCTCAACACAACTGGTACAAGAGTGTTTAGCAGAAATTCCAACACAATTATTTCCTAGAAGAGACTGTTTAAACATGACAGACATACGACCAGAGTGTGGATGCCCGAGACAAGTATGCCAAAGTTCCCACACTTTATTCGGCAAACTAGAAAACACAGGACCAGCAATAGAGCGAGAAGACTGACTCAAGTGACTCTGACTAGGATTTGACTGACTCAAGGAAGATGATGAACTTGAAGATGGCGAACTCGAACAACCACGAAGTTCCTCTAGCTGAAAAATTCTCCCCTGCTTACTCCCCCTTCCGATCTGCCTCCCCATCTTCATATCCTGTATGACACAGCCAGTAGGAGCAAACATAACAGTACATCCTTGTTCAGTAAGCTGACCAACTGAAACTAAGTTGGGAAGTAATGAGGGAACATGCAATGTACGAGGTAAAGAGATAGTAGGCGTATCTACTTTACCCATTCCTTTTACTGCCATTCGTTCTCCATTAGCAACTGTCAAACCAACATGACTAATAGGTTGTATATTGTGTAAATTTTTACTATCATTCGTCATGTGATTAAGCACCCAGAATCAAGTAACCAAGGCTTAGTTTTCAGCTTACCTTGAAGAGTAGAAAGAGGCGACCCAATGGCAGTAGGAAGAGAATTCTGCAAAGCAGCTACAGCTTGCACTAGCTGTTCAATTTGTGCCGCGGTAGGATTATTCCCCGTGGAAGCTCCACTAGACTCGCCCTGTTCAACAGTATAAGCAACTGGGCGATTTTGGTGAATATAAGCATGATTGGATCCACGACCAACACCGACAGGATAGTAGCCACGGCCTGCACCTGAATCCCCAGAATAATTCCCGGAATATCTCTCGGCATTCCTCTCTCGAGAACGACATTCCAAAACTATATGCCCCATTTTCTTGCAATAAACACAATAATTTCGACGTCGACAATGCTTCGCCAAATGTCCTTTCTCATGGCAGTGATGGCACTCAAGTTCGAAATTCGGAACACGACTATTAAATTGTGGGCGCGAAACAGCAAAAGCTTGGTAATTCTAACCCGTACCTGACCTGTCCGTGGCGGCCCCAATAGCCTCGCCTTCTCCTAGACGCAAGTCGATCTGGGTTTGTGTTCTTAGTCGTGTCTCTTCACGAACAAGACTAGCTAGCACCCCATCAAGCTTCAATTGTTCACGATTTAGGAGATTGGCCCTTACATTTTCAAACTCAACCCTTAATCTCATCAAGAACTACATCACTCGACCTTGTTGTCTCTCGGCCAATATGTCATTAGTCCAAGCCTGAGGTCGCAACGCCATATGAAAGATATCTTGCTCGGTCCATAGCTCCTGAGCTACGTTAAAATATTCAGTAACTGTCCGATCTCCTTGCTCCAATTGTGCGAGGGCTGCTTGAACCTCAAATTTCCTAGCGGCATTAACAGTGGAATAAAGAGTAGTGAGGTGCCTCCACATCCTATTTGCGGTGGAGAATAATTTGAGGCTGAGGCAGGTTGAGGGATCCACCAACCTCAACAACCAAGACCTAATCCTTGCGTCACTTTGGTTCCAAGCTGCTCGTTCCTGAGCAGGTACTGCATCATTCGGACAAGGAGTTGTCCCGTCCAAAATTCCAAGCAGTCCCCTTCCTTCAACAAAGACCTGAAATTGAAATTCTCATAGTGCGTAGTTCGTCGATGTGAGAAGAACGGTAGGTCTCTCAGATTCAGTCGCGGATGGCTCAGATACCATGTTAATAGAAGCAGAAACAGATTGATACGATAACGGAATAGAAAAACAACACTGACACCGGAATTTACGTGGTATCCCTGGAAATCCAGGACTAATCCACGGAAGAGCTTTGAATGCTATTCAGGCTACTGGTTTACTGAGATGTATTCTGAGTTCGTAAGTTACAGTTGCACACTACATCTGCTATATATATCTCGAGCCCTAGGTTAGATATCTCCATATCAACGTCTAACCTTGCATGGGCTAACATGACTACGTGTGTGGGCTTTGAATGAATGGGCCCTACAACTCTAATACAAAACACTAAACCGCAGCCTAATTAAGGTGATACGTCAACAAGACAATAGCCCGACTCAATGGACGGAGAGTAGAGCTTCTTTTTGACAAAGTAGGGAGAGTAGAGATGGGAACAAGTTTTACTTACCATTTATGGTGAATTGTAAAGAAACCTAAAGCTTCTATTCGTTGCTAGAGAATTTCAAACACAAAAGCATGATTTGCCGTTATGGTGAACTGAAGTTGTTTGGATGGCGATTCTTGATAGACTGATAGCTACATAAAATTTTTATAGGTGAAGGAAGGATATTGTGTCTTCTTTTGCTTATTCTAGAGGGAATCAATGAACCTTTATTTCTCTCTTTTAATGCCTATTTTTATGATAGTTTCTTCATTATTTTACTGCACTCATGTTGTTTAACTGAAACTAAGCTTCACAGAGATGGTTGGAGATGATTTGTGGGATGATTGACAATTGTAATGTTGTTGCTATAGTATCAGAGATGTTCAAAGAATTGTGCCATATAGAAAGGTGGCAAATCAGGTAGATATAATGCAATCCTATTAGCATCTCATACACAATTTAACATCTGGTCTGACATTCTTGACACTTCATAATTGGAGCATGGCTTCCACCTTATATCAACAAATTTTCTTTTATGGTATTTGAACCACTTTGAAATCCTTTTTTATATGATATAAATGTTATTATGTTACTCAATTGTATTTGGTAGCCTTAGACAGATTCTAGCGTATTGCTTTGTATTTGTACTTTTTCAGTTCTTGTTTGTGTTTAGAAAAGAAAGACTGCAAAACATATAAGCAAAATAACCTTAGTTATTATTATTAGGGTTACCAATTGCTATTTTAATATGTTTGATGATTCTACTAATTCGAGTATCTTATTGTTGATTCGATTCTTGTAACGAGGAGTTTAAGACTTTAACCTATTGATCTTGGCCATTTCCATCAAAAGCGAGTGACGTCATAGGTTTCCGGAAAAGGACCTGTTTAAGGATTTACAAGAACGTCTCATAAAAATGGTCATATAATCCCACGTGGCTAACCTAAATAAAGAAATGGACCAAAGAAATAAAGGCCCACGTAATCTAATCACTCTGGCCCACGCCACACTAAACCATCCAAGTGAGACAGCCCCCGCCCACGTAAACCTTGCCACGTAATCTCACCACCCCTAATGGCTGCTTCTGCTTCCTCCACGTGTCTCCCCGTTTATACAAAACTAAAGCATAATAATAATTAATAATCCTTTTTCCTTACCTACTTATCCACGCTTGACAAGTGATAATTAAGCACGCTAATCAAAGGGGGTTAATGGGCGAAGGGAAGTTGATTAACTTTTTTAACCCAACGGTCCACTGAAACGGGCATCAAAATCAGGCCTTCCTAGAAGGCTGCAGCCGCTACGTGCGCTCCACGTGTCCTGCCATACAGTCACCTACCAAAAAGATAAAACATAAAACTGAAGAAAAAAGAGAAGAATAATAAAATACAGAGCCCACACGTCCTCTCTCACTCGCTGGTCCGTACTAAATACCAACTTTCAACGGCCATATTTGACCGACATCTTCCAACGGTCACTTGAAATTGAGCGTCCACACCGTCCGATCTTCAATCCAACGGCCACCCAAAGATTTCCCGAACGCACTGTAATTTATGTTTCTGGTAAGATAATAAAATAACAATTAATAATGGCGGGGAGGGAGGGAGGTCCACGGAATGTAGAAAAAGAGCTGTGATGGAGACAGCCATTGGAGCTCTTTAGTAGGGGAGAAGTAGGAGAAACGTATTAGCCAGTAGAGAGAGAGAGTGAGGTAGAGAGAGAGAGAGAGTGAGAGATAGACAGCAGGGGAGAAGGGAGAGACGTAGCTTTACTAGGTTTGCAGAGTGGTTGCATCAAGACGGAAACTTTGGATGTTTTAGGTTCTCGTTTTGGGGAAGTAGTGTTTTGGGTTTAAGGCAGAGAGTTTTTGGAGATGAGGGTACTTTCTTGATTGTTCTGTTTGTTCTACGTCATGCATGGGGTTTCTGGGTATTGCATTGAGTCATGTTTTCTGTGTAATGGGGTTGCTGAAGGCGTCATATGTTCATCTGGGTAAAGGAATTTTTGTTGATTTGAGCGTTTCAGAGCTTTCAACTGTGTGTGTGTTCTTATTCATTTCTTGTCTCTGATGAGTTTGGTTTGTTGACGGTTTTGGAATCCGATGATTTCTTGTATTTGCTTTCTAACTGTTTGATGAATTGTCTAGACCAGGAAAAACAAATTCTTTGATTCTTTCTGGGTTGGGGGTGGGACATTGATTGATCATTCATTCATTCTTCCTGTTGTTGATCCAAATTCTTTCATTCTATTTGTTAAATACATACACATCTATAGGTGTTTAGTTGATTCTTTATTATAGGCTTCCTTTGGTTTTTCTCATCGGATTCCTGTTTTTTTTTTTTTTTTTCTTTAGGTTGATAGATAGATCCATACACTCACATTACTTGAGTTTCCTTTCTGAAAATACCCTCTTTGTGGATTTCAAACATTCAGAGCTTACATTACATGTGCATTTAGTAAAGGAGACCTTGAGGTTCATAGTTAAGAAATTTTTTAGCAGAGGTGGGAAGAGAGGGTGAGAGAAGAAAGGGAGAGGTTGAACAAAATAGGGAGTGTGAGGGGAGAAAAAACCAAAAAAGAAGAGCAGAATTGGAAGGATATAGAGGATGTTGGCTGGTTGTTCTAGTTCCACATTGTTGTCACCTAGGACTAGATTGAGAAGCGAGTCAGCAGCAGCAGCAGCACAGTTTCCAGCTTGTCATTTCCAGTTACCATCAATGAGCACACATAGATTGGACTTGCCATGTTCATTCTCTCGGAAAGAGTCCACAAGATCACAGCACATTAGGCCCGTTGGTGTCGTCGGCCTTTCAGTTGACAACAAGCCACTCGAATCCAAGACCAGCACTTGTTCTCTCAGGCAGAACATCCGGCTCCCTCCATTGGCAATAGCAACAGCTGATCAGTCAGATTTCAAGGATGAGTTTTGGGACAGGGGAGGTAACAACATTTCGAAGAGGAAGAAGAGGTTTGCAGCAGATGACGACGAGTCTTGCAACATCAGGGCCAAGAGGAAGAAAGGTGAGTCTACTGATGTTCCTGAAGGGGGTGGTGATGGTGTGAGATTAGGCCAGTTTGGTGGTGCAAATTTCTGGTTTCAACCAGGTTTTCTTCACGTCCCTAGAGGCACAAACGACCCATCACAACTTCCTTTCTCCTTGACATGTTCAGGGGAAGATGAAAGGGTTTGCTATGTCCCTAGTGAATTGATTACACCGCCTCTGCCACCATTGTCCAACAACAACCCATGGGTTGACTCGGTTATAACTGAGATTACTGACGTAGGGGAGAACTATGGAGAGAGCAGCCGGATCCCAGTGAAAGAAGCTTCTTCAGGCTCAAGTCCTTCATCAGAAAGTCAAAGCTTGGGGCACAGGTCATTAAGTGAGAATGTTGAGGAGCATGAAGTGGGCAATGGCTCAAGCAATCCTCACCATGCCCAACCAGGAGCAACTGCCGATGCTGCAGCGGAGGACGATCAGCAAGGAGAATATCGGGGTTTCGAGTTAGTCAGCTTGCTCACATCTTGTGTTGAAGCAATCGGGGCAAAGAACATTGCAGGGGTAAACCATTTCATTTCCAAGTTGGGGGAGCTTGCTTCTCCAAGGGGGAATTCGATCAGCAGGCTGAGTGCTTACTACACTGAGGCTCTGTCCCTCAGGGTTACAAGGATTTGGCCACACATATTCCATCTCAACATTCCACGTGACCTTGAACGGGTTGAAGATGATTCAGGCACTGGATTAAGGCTTCTGAATCAGGTGAGCCCAATCCCAAAATTCGTTCACTTCACTGCCAATGAGATATTGTTGAAGGCATTCGAAGGGAAAGACAGGGTTCATATCATTGACTTCGACATCAAGCAAGGTCTTCAGTGGCCTAGCTTGTTTCAGAGCTTGGCATCTAGAGGTAACCGACCGAGCCACGTTAGACTCACCGGAGTTGGAGAATCGAAGATGGAGCTTAACGAGACTGGTGACAGGCTAGCTGGATTTGCGGAGGCGCTGAACTTGCCATTCGAGTTCCATCCTGTTGTTGATAGGTTGGAAGATGTGAGGCTATGGATGCTTCATGTAAAAGAAGGAGAAACTGTTGCAGTGAATTGTCTCTTCCAGATGCACAAGACACTGTACGACACTAGTGGAGTAGCAATGAGGGATTTCCTGGGATTGCTCAAGAGCACAAACCCGGTAACGGTGGTGATGGCAGAGCAGGAAGCAGAGCATAACGGCCTCAGCTTGGAATCCAGAGTATGTAATTCATTGAAGTACTACTCTGCAGTATTTGACTCCATTGATTCTGGCCTACCATTGGAGAGTCCAGTGAGGATGAAGGTGGAGGAAATGTTTGCAAAGGAGATCAGGAATATAGTTGCTTGTGAAGGGATTGACAGACTTGAGAGACATGAGAAGTTTGGGAAATGGAGGAGCTTAATGGAGCATGGCGGATTTCGGTGTAACGGGATCAGTGAGAGGGAGTTTCTTCAGGGGCAGATGTTGTTGAAGATGTATCCCTCTGGGAGCTATGGAGTTCTGAAGCAGCAGCAAGGGCAGGAAGACGGCAGCGTGGCAGCACTCACTCTTACTTGGTTGGAAGAGCCGCTCTACACAGTCTCAGCATGGACACCTGTGGACAACATTGCAGGAAGCTCGTCCTCGTTTTCTCAACCTTAAGTTTGGATCTTTTCTTTCATACCATACAGAAAAGGGACACAGAAGAATTCTTTGTAGGTAGCCAAAAACAAGTCAGTGATTGTTATTACTATTCGTTCATTCTTTTCGTTTGCAAATATATAGCTTTTGTCAGTCTGAGATAGTGGCATTGAGAACATTTGTTTGTAGGAAATACAGATAGTTTTATCATACTGGTTTCAGAGTCCTAGAGTCAGGCGTCTATAAGAATAGGAAGGTCAAATTCAAATGTATTCGTTCATTCTTTGTTATGTACTGAAGAAACAGATAGATACTTGCAGTTCTGGTCATCATTCATTTACATGAGTTCATTCAAATTCTGTGAAATATGAAATAAAAATTCAGCATTCTTGTCCTCTTGTCTCTTTCACTCTTCTCTTGCTGTACCAAAACACTGGAGATCATTACACAATTTCAGTATTTGCTTCTCAAGGTTAAACCATATTTCTCACTCATACTATGTGTCAGTTGGGTTCTTTCTTTCATCTGGAATTGACCGATCAAAGAAGCAACAACAATTAAGGACACATGTGTAATGTGTTGTAGCCATGGTTGGTTTAGTCCACGGCAAATTCTTCTCCCTGAACATAATGGTATGAACTCAAATTCATTCCCCTTAAAGTCCACACTTGGGTTGGTTGTTTAAGAACCTCTCGGCTCAATTGCTCTTCCCAGTTTTTCGGGTCTCGTCCGATTGCCTAGAAGTTCACTAGAACCTGAGAGTTCTTTTGGGATGCTATTGCTCATCACCTGGCAAGATTCAATGGCTCAGAGAGTTCTTTTGGGATGCTATGGTTCATCACTTGACAAGATTTAATGGCTCAGAAGTTCACCAGAACCTGAGAGTTCTTCTCGATGTGCAAGAAGGAATGGCCCTGGAGGGTGCAGCCTTAAGGTTTCTTTGAAACAAACTTGTAGATATTAGAGTAGATATGGTAGTTGTGTTATGCATGATTCTTTGATAAAAACTTCTTGTTGTTCCATTGCCGGTGGAACTTCTTCTTCAAGTTTTTTCATGCACTTGGGAGTTGGGATTCCTTATCAGCTCGGCCATCATCCACTCGATTGTTGAGGAGCTGGTATCTGTTCCAGCTGACAGTAGCTCCTGCAAAGTTCATGATGAGAAGAAGTATAAAGATGGACAAAATATCCAGGTATTAGGGTTCGTTTGGAAGTTGTGATTGTTAGAGTTGTGTTTGTTGAATACTTGTATTGTGCACAATACAATGTTTGTAAGTGCTAAAGTGTAAAACAATGCATGCATTGTTTTATATTTGTCCCACCAACAATCACAAAAAAATGATGCATTATACAATCTCAACTAAAAGTTCAGATTGTTGTGATTGTTGCTTTTAGATTTGTGTCAACTTTTTGTTTTAATTTATATCCCTAATAATTTTTAGGGTAAATACAATATATTAGCCACAACTATTAAGGAGCGGGAAATTATAGCCACAACTATCGAAATACAAATTATTAGCCATAACTATTGTTGCGAGTCAAGATTTGGCTAACAGCCCATTACTGTTTTCATATTTTTAACGAAGAAGGTCGTGCCAGCTTCGTAAAAAATATGATATGATGACTGCCACGTGGGAGCCAACTCAACATCGTAAAAGCTTAGTTATCGTTACTGACAGAAGTGTTAACGAACACTTAACGGTTGGCTAATAATTTGTATTTCGATAGTTGTGGCTATAATTCCCCGTTGCTTAATAGTTATGGCTAATATATTGTATTTACCCTAATTTTTATTTTATACTAAAAGTTGAGGATAAATATGACATTTCCCCATAAAAGTAACTTTATGTAAATCAATGCATAAAGTAGAATCTCACAACCAAACAATATATTGTTAAAATGCATCCATTGTATCAATACATCATACATGTCTTTGTATTATGGTGATTCATTACAATACAACGATTTAACATTCGTAACTTCCAAACTAACCCTAAATGTCGAAAAAAAGGCAAAGCTGTGAAATGGGTAATTTTTTCTAAGCAGTTGGGCTTGGTTGACAAGGCCCATCTAAACAATAGTTGGTTCATCGAAAGGAAGTAATTGCAGGTTCGACCGGACCGGTTATATATTATCCGGGCAGGAAAGGAAAGTCGAAGGCTAAGGAGGGAAATCAATCCCTAATTGATTCATTCGTTCTTCATCGGCGAAAGCAACACAGAGCCGCCGCCTCGATCGCTCTTAACCTCCTCCAGTCTCCGGCGACCCGTCTGCTCCGCCATCCATCGGCCGCTTCCTCCGCTCTTCTCCGTAATCTCATGGTCTGCCAGCCGGAAGAGATCTTCTGTCGATTCTGAGCCTTTCTAGCTGCGAGACACCTGCGGCGACGACGGTAAATTGCGAAACAGCAAGAGAACCTTAACCGGAGGCGATCAGCTCTATCCACGTCGTTATCCTCATCGCTGAGCGAAGAAATATCTACGGAGAAGCCTCTGTTAAAACTGGCAACCCTTTGTTCTTACTATTCAGGTAGATAATTGCTTCTCTGGTTTCCCATATCATTTTATCCTGTTATCCAACCCCCCCCCCCACCCCCCCCCCCCCCCCCCCCCCCCCCACCCCAAATGCTATTATAGAGGAATTGCAAGCGTCTATTGAAATTTTAGCATTCCAGAAATCATTAGAATTGCTAGAGAATAGAGGAATTATAAGCCTCTATTGAAATTTTAGCATTCCAGAAATGATTCGAATTGCTAGAGAATATAAGATAAACAGAGAGAAGGTGATTAACTTTGCTTACATAAGTTATTGCTACGATGTTGCAGGTCTCTGAAATATTGATATTAGCTGGTATCTTATTGGGATCGTTGATTCCTCATAGACGATGGTACGTGTGCTTTGATTTCATATTGAATTTATAGATGTGGCGTCCGAACTAGATGATGGGTATGATTTGTTTCACGAGCCTTGTTCAACGGATGACATGATGAGTGGAGTTGCTCCTAGCTCTATTTTGGAGATCCAGTTATTGATAGACCTAAGATATTTGTCAGCAGCTCGTTAAGTATGTTTCAAGTTCTCTCTTACTTTGAAGCCTGAAGGGCCAAGTTGCAGGGTCTAATTTCCAGCTAGATATGAGGCTTGTGGCTTGACTTTTGATTGCATAATTATAGTTTGATTAAGTACTTTCATCAGTTTCTGAGGCACTGTGTCAATACTTCTCTTGACTTTTCTAATAACTAATCGTGTCCATGCAGTAACTTATCAATAGAACTACTCGTTAGTTGTTACCCTCATGTTGCCTTCCTCTTGAAACACTTAATGAAACAAGTGTGAAATTGGGGGACTACCAAAATCCAAACTGTGGACTCTTCGTCCCTGCATGAGGGCCATTAGACCTATTGACACCCTGTAGAAAACTGGGCTTGTATAATATTTTTGGACAAATAGTAGAGAGTATAATTTTGTCAGATAAGCTAACTTTCATCTGATTACTTGAGCGCCAACTTCCTTGATATTAAGGGAAGTGGATAGCGTATCTGTTGTTAGTTGCTGTGTGCTTTCAAGTAACCGATTTAGTTTGGGCTAGCTATTATATAAACGTCATGCTTTCTTGTCTTCATGCTCATGCTCATGCATTTCAGACTTGGTGTTTAGACCCTTTCTTGTTTATGTAGCTATAGTTTGAAGTTCCTGTTATCACACATTTGTAAATAGAGTTTTGGAGTTCTGATTCGTTAGGGCTGATTGTTCTTTGCTTTTTGTGCCTTTCGTAGCCTTGAGGACTTATTAATGGTGAAGTAATTCGTATGTGTGTATGTGTGTGGACCTACTTACAGAAATATAATTTTATCCCTGATACATTGCTATTTATCTTTTGATTTCAGGCTGGCAGAATAATTGCAAATCTGATTGTTGTGGGTTCAGGAGTGTTGGTGAGGGCATTTGCTCAGGCTTATCGTCAAGCGCTTCAAAGTATGCTTATTTTCTTTTATTTTCCCATAACCTTTTTGTGGCTCGGTTTAAGTTACTGACATTTGTGATCGACAACAGATGCTTCAAAGAATGGTGTTGCACGTGAAGCAGTGGAGAACATGAAGAAAGTGGGCAAGACGATGAGCGAGTCAGAGGCCAGGCAGATTCTCGGAGTCTCTGAAAATGCATCATGGGAGGAGATTCTGAAGGTATGAAACCGAGGTCACTACTACTTTTCATGGAAATGTGAGAATCATGATCGTTGGACTAGATCAGACGATGGTAATTATTGCGTGCAGAAATATGATTCATTGTTTGAGAACAATGCTAAGAATGGCAGCTTCTACCTGCAATCGAAGGTGTTCAGAGCTAAAGAATGCCTTGAAAGTGCAGTCAAGAAGGATGGTGAGTAAATTTGAGCTGATGAAAAAGTTTCACACTCTTCATCTCGCCTCCCAACCTGCAGGTGCACATATACTTAGAAAGACGCATTAGCTCCAGAAGTTTTAACTGTGATGTGTATCGAATGTCGAGAATCGTCCAATCCCATGACCATGGTTTGTGATACTCTACCGCATAGGCTGGTTTTATCTGTTAAACCAAACTGATGACTGAGTCAGTATGGGTTTGTTACAGTTTGTACCGATTTTTTGCTGTCATATACCTTGAACTGTTAGCCTCATAGTTTGGGGTTTGAGAGAATAATAAAGAAGGGGAGTGGGAGTTCGCAATGTGGACTTTCCGCCCCCTTTTTCAGGTGATGGGTCTCTTGGATTGGATCTCCTTTTGTTCCTTGGGCTTGGATTAAAATGATCTCAGACTCTCTGGTGGATTTGGATCCATTTCTGTAATCCTTGAATTCTCTTACCACGTTCCCTAGTTGTTGAGTAGTACCACATTGAGTTAGCATGGGTCGCAATTCGGCTCGACATTGGGATGTCCTCATCTTGCATTTCGCGAGCATAAGACACACATCGAGGGTATCGCCATGTCGGTCGTGAAAGGTTGAAGTTGGAATTGGTCGGGCCGCGTTTGGCGTTGCCACCGAGTAAAATTGGCAAAATCTCTTCACTCCCAGGGATGTTAGTTGATGGTTTCACATGTTAGTTGGGAATTACATACTCGCCATCTTGAAGGAGTGCTGTAGTATCATTGTGTAGGTATGGTTTTAGGAGAATTCTAAACAAGGAAATGTTTGTAGTGAAGTACGTGCCTTGATAGATGGAAAGATATTCTATTGATTAAGACATGTATACGGGGCATTAGCACAACAACAAAGTTGTGTAATGATACCAAGTGGTCCATTAACCAACGAACCCAATTCATTCGCTACCTTTCTTTCGGCAATGATATGATGCTGCTGTCTACGCTTGCTGCTTTCGGTGGCCCTTCCACAATTGCAAAGGAAAGGACCGCAGCAAGTAAAGAGTCTAGTTTTGTCGTTAAAGTTCAGTCAGTTAAAAATAATTTAAAGTTCTGAGTTTGGTTCGAGTTTGATCCAAGTTTAATTAATAGACAAGTTTGAGTTTGACTCATTTACAAAAATAGAAGTTCGAGCTCGAATTTGGCTCGCCAAATGAGTTTAACGAGCAAAAAGGAGTTCGGCGGATAAAATGTCGATTGTAGCTCAACCTCGAGCTCGAACTCGACTCAAAATCACATTACAAAGTCTTTCAAATTTGTCCACGAGCTTATCAAGTTGAACATGGCTTGTTAATTGATGAGCTTATCGGTGAGCCGCCTCATTTAAATACCAGTCGAGTGTCGAACGAATTTTTTTCGAGTTGAACACCGAATCATGCTTGTGGCTTGGTTCATAACTGCGCTAACCCTACCAAAGAATTAAGCATCCAGTTGGAAACAAGGCCGCCCAGCGCAGCCCAACCGCGACCTTTCAAGCTCTGACAACGGCGATATATGCCCTCTACCTTTCCGATGAAAGTGTACATCTTCAATACTGTCCCTTGTTATTAGGCAAAATACACCTGTGTAGCCAAAACTTTGACGGTTTGGCCAAATATAGCCACTTTTTGGCGAAATACAAAAAATAGCCACGTTCGTCTAATTCTTTAACGGTAATAGTTAACGTGCTAACTAGACTAACAGAATGCCTGGCGGGGTTGTTAGAGAGCGGTATAAGATCCAACATAACCTTCTCTCAACAACTCGAGTTATTGGGACCACGATATCAGAGCTGGTTTGGACAAGTGGTCGTGTGTTCGAATCTCCACGACCCCCAATATTAACAATTGATTAAAGCACAAGGTATGGTGGGTCTGTGCAAACTTCAAACCCATGGGTTGGCTCTCGTTTGAGGGGGCGTGTTATAGAGTGGTATAAGATTTAGCATAACATTCTCCCAACAACTCGAGTTATTGGACCAACTGGTGGTTTAGGACAGTGGCGACATAAGTTAACAACATTGCCACATGGATTTAATTGAAAAAAAAAACAAAGGCAAAAAACAAACGAAAAAGAGACTTGTCAAATCTTCCTCTTAAATATCGGGGAAAGAATGCGTCTCCCTTACTCCCTTCCCTCCCCGTCCTTCCTTCCGCAGGAGATTCCCCATCCCTTTTGGTAAGCTCCCGTTTGTCGATCTCGTGCAGACGTGCACCATCTCCTTCCTTAGCAGCGCGAAGCTACAATTGGACCGCAATGGGGCAGAGGGGGATCTAGCAGAGGGAAGTGATTGCGGAGTTTTTTCATTTCCCCTCAAACTGGAAACTCGTCGCGCGAAAATCGGTGTTCCCCCACCGCACTCTGTTTGTTGTTCGCTTACGCCGCCACCACGTTTAATCCCCGATTCATATATGTATCCAAACCTATCTTCTCTCTCACACAGAGGACCAGATCTCACAGATACAGGAGGGAGGTCGAGCAACTGTCAGATTGTAGAATGGCTGGTCTTATCGTCGTGAAAAAATGAAGAATGAAAGGGCTTGGGGCAAGGGATAAATGATTGTGGTAACAGGAGCGACGACGGCTAGGTCGAGGAGGTACGCGTTGCTTGTGTACAGCTGTGTCTAAGTTGTCGATGGGGGTGGCAATGGCAGTCACTTGGTTGGTGTGGGGCGGCGGCGGATTGTGGTTGCTCTAGGCGGAGCTAGGGTTTGTGAATTGGGGATTTTCAAAGAAGAGGGGATGAAGGTGGGCATAGGAGGAAAATTAGGGGGGAAAATATTATATTTTCTTAGTTTCAAAATTAATTAATTTTATAAATTAGAATGACGTGGAAATGATATTGATGACTTGTTGCTGACGTGTGTAATGATTTGGCATCCTAGTCAGCCTAACGTTAACCTAACTGATGGGATTTCTATCACTGTCGAAGTTTATAATGGAAATTGCTATATTTGTCATGAAACTTTCAAAATTCTGGCTATTTTTTATATTTCGCAAAAAATGGTTGTTATTGTCACAAACATCAAAATTTTGGCTATATAGATGTATTTTGCCTTGTTATTACTATTCTTGAGTGGCTAAATTGCAAGTTTGGTGAGTTGAATTACTAGTACAGTTCACTTTAGCCATTAGAATTACTTTATTCCATCTGTAGTCACTTAAATTAGTTACACAGTCCAAGTTTGGTCACTCTCCGTTACCCAATGTTCAAGAAGACGCTGGGCGCCACCTAGGCGAGGAGGCACCGCCCAGCGCCCAGGCCGATTAGTCGTTGCCTAGGCGAGATTAAACGTCAAAAAAAAAAATGATAAATATGTAAGTTTAGAGTGCAAGATCAAACATAACATTCATAAGTTCACTGATTTGCAGTTTTGTAACTGACAATATTCAAGATAACAATCATTCAAGTAGTAACATAGAAGGAAACAAACATAATAAAACATTACAAATGTTAAGATAAGCCATAAAGGCGATGACAAGTTAATAAACTCCAAGTTGATCACTCATCATCTTCATCCATATAGTTCTTGTTAACCACAACATCCTCCTCATCCTCCTCGAAATGAATGGCCTCACTTTCCTCGTCATCTTCTTCTTCAGACTCAAACTCCTCATCGGCAAGGTCTCTCACTAATCTGGCACTCCTGCGAGGTTGAAGATTCTCACTAGCTCCCCTTGCCTCATCAATAACATTCCATGGAATGCCATCGAAACCTTCATCATCTTCATCACCAAACACATGCAAAGTGTGACTATCTCCTCCCTCAAATAGAAAGCCTTGTGCTTCAATTGAATCGGAACTTATGAGAACGTCAACATTCTTCCTCTCCTTTATCTTCATTTGCTTGGACATCAATCTAGAGTTAAACTGGATGTACAGTAGTTGATTCATGCGACTAGTAGTAAGCCCATTCCTCTTCTTGGTATGAATCTGCAAGGACAATTGATTATACAAGCTTCCATCTAATATCTACTTTTACTATATAGCATATGGACACAAATTCAAAACTACTAACCGACTCAAAAGTACTCCAGTTTCGCTCACAGGCAGAAGAACTTGAGGTCAATGACATAATCCTTATAGCCATCTTTTGCAAATGAGGTGTCTCACTTCCATACATTCTCCACCAAGCCACTAAGAAATTAATTAACTCTAAGTTAGTGAACGACACTAAATCATAAGTTACAAGGAAAGGTGGAAAGAAGTACTAACCAGCATTGTAGTCAAAGTTTACACAATTCTTTGCCATCTTTTTTCCAAAGAGTCCTTGTTTCCTTTGAAATTTTGTGAACTCTATGTTCACCACCTCATCATGTATATCCTCATCACAACCATGGTATAATTGCTCAACACAAGTGATCAATGATGTTGTAATATCGGCATTGTCAAATATTGAGGAGTCGGCATAACTGTAGTGAGGATTGAGAAGATATGCCGTTAGATGCAATGGAGCATCAAGTCTGCCTCTCATCTTCTTCTCCACAATAGCAATGACTTCTTTGTAACGAAGCTCTTCATTCTTAAACGCCTCCTTTATCTCTCTCTTTGCCTTCAAAAGTTCACCATACACAAAACCCATAGAAGGTTTCACATCCCCATCCACTAATCGGAGAAGCTTCACCAATGGCTCAAAGACTTTCAAGCAAATTTCCACACCATTCCAAAACCTAACACTAAGAACCGTGTCATAAGCCTCCTTGCCTTTCTTTGAACTGGTCTCCTTAATATTTTCCCACTTCGCATCCACCACCATCTTCCTCAAAGAATCTTTCTTATCCAACAAACTTTGTAGAGTAAGAAATTGAGAAGCAAATCGAGTCACACCTGGTCGGATGATCTCTCTCTTTTTGGTGAAGGATCTCATGCATTCCAAGGTGCGGTGGTGGCCATATATGAAGATGGTGAACCCCTTAGCTTGATCTACAATTTTCTTGAACCTTGGTATGTTGCCGATTCCTTGTAGCATCAAATTGATGGTGTGGGTTGCACAAGAACTCCAAAATATGTTCGGCCTCTTCTCCAACAAGAGGGCCTTTGCTGCCTTATTGTTGGAAGCATTGTCCGTCACCACTTGCACCCACATGTTCAGCTCCAACTTCCTCTATTGCATTGTCCACTAGCTCAAAAATTACTTCACCTGTGTGAGAAATCGCTGATGTGTCCTTCGACTTTATAAAGCTGGTTCCCTCGGCACAATGTGTGACTATGTTCATGATGCTTCTCCTCTTCATGTCTGTCCAAGCATCAGTCATAATAGAGCAACCATTCTTTTCCTTCTCCGCCTCTCGATCACTTAACAAGCTCTTAGTCCTTGCATACTCAGCTTTCAACAAAGGCTCTCGAAGCTCATACTGTGTAGGAGGCTTCAATCCAGGACCAAATTGACCAATAGCCTCAACCATTTGCTTGAACTCATCATTCTCAATGGCATTGAATGAAACAGCTACAAAATAAATTCAGGAGTAAATTAGAAAAACAAATTGTACATCTAAGAAAGAAGTAAAGGGTATAGCTATGCACTAACCATGTGTGTACACCCATTTTGCAATATATTGATGCACTTGAAGTGTCCTCTCATTAAAAAGTGCTTGATTTATCTTTTGTTGCTGAAATGATGCACTCGAAGACAAGCTAGGATCAATGGCACGTGCCCACTTGTCTATAGGACCTAACTTGTGAGGTTCAGAGCTACCTGCACAAGTGAGGTCTTCTTCCTGTTGTCCACCGGAAGAGACATTAACATCACTTCTCAAACCTAGCTCACGAACAACCTTATCATGCTTCTTCTTTTCTGTTCCTTCCAACCAAGCCAAGCATGCCAATTTAACTTCATTTGGGCAACTCTTACACTTGGCAACTCCACCACCAACCTGAGCAATGTGTTTCTTGAAACGGTTAATTCCTCCTGTGTTTACATTCTTGCAAAAGTTACACATGATTCTATCCTTGTTGTTTGGATCGATGAGCTTTCCATATTCCCAACCAATATCATCAGACTTCCTCTTCAAAGAGTTCGCATTTTCAACCGTTGAAGCCGTGACAGTAGCCTCTGTCTGTTCCATTTAACCAAAACAAGCAGCCCTGTAATTGCAAACACACATTTTCAGCAGCAAGTAGCAACCAAAATAAAAGCACTAACAGTAATGAAACGAGTAATGGAAGCTGAGAATGAAACGAGTAATCACAACCAAAATAAAACTCCTATTTCTTCTGAACTCACAGTAATGAAACGAGTAATCACAATTCACAACCAAAATAAAACTCCTATTTCTTCTAAACTCACAATAATGAAACGAGTAATCACAACAAAACCGATTCTCTCCTCTGTACACCTACTTCTAACAGCCGATTTCTTCTGAACTCCCAGCAGTACCTCCTCTTCGTCTTCCTTCAGGGTCTCTTTAACCAAGCGGCTGTCGAGGTCGAGAACGGCGATGCTGGTGCTGGCGGGGACGGCTGGGCGGCGATGCTGGAGAATCCCCGCGGTCGGCTGGGCGGCGATGCTGGAGAATCCCCGCGGTCGGCTGAGAACTGCGGCGATGCTGGAGAATCCCCGCGGTCGGCTGAGAACTGCGGCGATGCTGGAGAATCCGCGCGGTCAGCGATGCTGGAGAATCCCCGCGCAGCTGACCGACGAATCCCCGACGAATCCCCGCGCAGCTGGCGACGAAGGCTGATGCTGGAGAAGGCGGCTAGAGTTGGAGAGGAGGGATGAAGGCTACTTGATGTTCCCTTGCGAATTGCGATGGTCGATTGATGATATTAGGGTTTTACCCTTTCTGCCCAGCATCCAAAACGCACAGCTTAATAACAATTTTTTTTTTCCTGGGCGTCGCCCACCGCGTGTAATCGCGGATCAAGGCTTGGAATCGCCTCCTAGGCGTTCTTCAACGCGATTCCGCGTTTATGGCGCCCAGCAACTTCGCCCAGCAGTAATCTCCAAGAATCCTCCTCGCCCAGCTAGTAAACGCGCCTAGGCGAGTGTTCTTGAACACTGCCGTTACCTTCCGTCAGACTCCGTTAGTGCCGACAGTTAACTGCTGACGTGGCTAACAAGAATGATGGCTCGCTCAATTTTAACCACAAAAAAAAAACCGACTCGCCATGTTAGAAAAACCCGCCACCACATATAAACTCAACCCACCCGAATCAAAACCCATGAATGCCCCAATCGTATCCCTGATTTCCCTTTTCCTCCATCTCCTCTGCCTTCTACTTATCCTCTGCCTTCCACCTCTCTCTCTCTTCCGCCATGGCTCTGTTTCCTCCATCTCCATCCCTCATCTTCTCTCCAGCGAGCTCTGACCTGAGATTGATTCATGGAAGAAGCTAAAGAAGTTGAATCTCGTATGAGGATCTCTTCTCGCTGAATCTGAGCTCGTGGAATGGCGCCGACGTCCATTTCAATTTGTCGATTGAACGGTCACCGCCGCCGGGGGACTTGATGTTATTGTACTTGAAGTAGAACCACACGACTCTGACAAGGAAGACGACTACGGCAAGGATGAACATAGACCTAAGAAGCCAGACGTAATCCTAGATTTCCTCTTGCCGTGTTTCCCCTGACACAGTCCGGCAATGTCGCCGCATAATCTGGTATTACCTAGGAAGTTGTTTTGTAACTTTCTTTGGCGTAAATCATTGGAATCTCACCGGAGAGCTTATTGTTCGAGAAATCAATATTGTTGAGCTTCAAGTTATGGAGATTGGATGGGATTTTGCCAGAGCGGGGGTTTATGCTTCCAGGCGGAGTGCTGCTCAAGGCCGACCCACAGGCGGCGACGGTCGACGAAAGCACTCAGGGAGCGTTTTTTGTTGGAAGTAAGGTTTTCCTCTGCATATGGGTTTGTGGATTTCTGTTCGTGGAAGAAAGGCTTTCCTAGTGCGTCTTCTAATAGAGTAAGAAGATAAAGCAGATCTGCAAGCCGGCGCGTCAAGATCCTCAAACTAGAAATGACCCCAACCTACTTCTGTGCTACCTCCGACGGTCGATTTGGCGCAGATGGCAACTAGCGACGAAGACGTAGGAACAAATTGATTCCTTCCTTGTCTTGCTGGAATAAGATGAAGGTTCGATCCTAGTGTGGTTGGCGGAGCTGAGGTTGGAAGGAGGAAGAAGCTTTGCTTGCTCTGGTTGTAGCTAAGACTTTCAATGTCGATTTGTTTGGGAGAAAGAAAGAGAGAAAGAGTTATGGGGAAGATGGATCAGGGTGGCGGGTATTATGTCGGAATTGAGAATTGCAGTGGTGGCCGTCGGTGGAAGATGAGGAAGAGACGGAACGAATAGAGGAAGAGGAAGAAGGGTGGGTGGGTCACGGGTTCGGTTCGGTTTGGGTATCTTATGTGTCTGGGACATAATGACGTGGCAAATGGATTTTTATTTTTTTTGTTTAAATTGGGTGATTAGGCATCTTTGTTAGCCACATCAGGTTAACTAACGGCATTAACAGATCTGACTAAAGGTAACGGAGAGTGACCAAACTTGGATTGTGTAACTAATTTAAGTGACTACGAATGGAATAAAGTAATTCTAGTGGCTAACGTGAACTTTATTAGTAATTCAAGTGACCAAACTTGCAATTTACCCATTCTTGAGTTATAGCCGGAACTCCATCAATGCCCTCTGAAATTTCAGCGTTTTGACGAGTTGATTAGTGAATCCTTAGTCTTTGGTCAAATTATAATAAACTTATTAGTCAAACAAAGTTAGGCTGAGCTGAGTTCTTCAAGGTAACTTCTACTAGCTTTCTTTTGGGGTTATCGTAGAAGGGGATAATCAATGAGTTGGAGAAGGTTGGAGAATAAATTTTATATTATTCTTTTATACGTCTCCTTAAATGGATATTTGTTCTTTTACTTGGTTTCAGATATGTGCATGAATTATTTTAAAATCAAGCGTTGTGACTAAGGTAAGCAAGATACAATTGTACTTACCTTTTCGGCTACAAATGCTTTAACATAATATCAAGAACTAATTTTTCATGTAATTTGAGTTATTAATATAAGACCAATATTATAAGATGAATTCTTCAACATTTTTCGACAATTTGAGGTTTTTACTAAATAATTGATGTGGTATTTGAGCATTTGAATGACCTAAGAGCTGCAAATAATCCAGAGTAGTCCTAATAATTATTTACATAATGAAAACTTCATATGCACACAACGGTATATGACAACATATGTAATTCTCAAACTCGTAACTTCACCTTCTTTTTACAGGATGTAAAATATTATAAAATTATTTCTCTTAACGTCTCTCAATAACTTCTCTAGTTTCATCACAAACCTCATCTACCACTCGAATTGTTTGCACAACTTATGCATTTACATTTATACCGACCGTGAAACAATATTCTTTCACTCTCGGTTCTCCTTGTTTGTATGCAAACAAAAAGATCAGTGAGGCACATTCTCGATTTATTTTTGCACAATTATGTATCTCTTAGCGTTAGGTATCTTGGGCTTTTATAGGAGTAGAGGCCTTCGAATTTTCTTCTCATTGGAGGAATAGTAAATTCTATATTAAGATGATAATAAATTATATTAATAAAATGGGTTTTAATAAGGAAAGTTACCCCAAAAGTTTCTCAATTGATCCCTCTATTCAACACATAAATAATGGTTTGATTTATCAATACCGAGGAGTAAAAGGAGGAATCTGTCCGAGGTGGGGCATATTGATCAATCAAAGAGAGACTAAACTCATAGTCTCGGGATATATGAGATGACCATTATCATTTTAGAAAAGAATTCAGATAATTTATTAAAAGTAAATTATCTTTAGAAAGATATAGTCTCAAGGTCAATCCGAACGGCGTGTGCATGTGTGGTTTGAAGGTCATCTAGATTCTAGCTCCTCCCCTTCACAAAAATGAGTAACCACAAGAACTACACCCATTATGAAGATAATCCTATCTATAAGAAACAATTATCTACACACTAATAGAAAGACGTTCTAGGGGAGGAGGGGGTTAGATGAAAAAACAGAGCCCTCTGCGCACTTCAGGCTGTATTTGTCCTTCTACTTCACATTTATTTTTCTTCCGAGGAGATTATAACTACATACAGTCATTGCCTTAGCTTGAGATTCTGTTTTTAGACTGGCTTCATTTGTCGATTGATCTCCACGTAAAAAAGAAAAAGAAAAACTTCTAAACATGTCGTCTCAAGCTAAGGCTTAAAACAAAAAATCTCATGGTAAATCTCATTTGGTTTAGAACATGGTTGTCGAGCAGCTCGACATGCTTCAATCGGTACCGTTAATGAAATCAATGTGAACATTATTGGTATGACTGACATGATCGATTAACAGTGTCTAAGCTATGTGGCATCGTTTTAGTGAATTCAATTAATAAAAAATTAATTCATCATTTATTTTATGAGTTTAAAAGTTAAATTTTGATGTTAATTGTTATATTTAAGTATAAATATTTAGGTATTGACGTTAAATATTGTATTTAAATATGAGTATTTGTAATTTTATTATGAATGTCGCATATTATTTAAATATTAATATGAATTGATCGTAATTGTGTTCAAATATGCTTTATATATGATTAAACTCATTTATTGCTAATAAGTTTTCCAATGTCTACATATTTTGTTAAAGTGGCATAAACTGACAAACAATGATTGTACCACTGATCAAATCATTCCACTTACTAAATCAATGTGACGGTATAAACCGACTTGACAGCCTTGATTTAGAAAACCGAATTTCATCATTACATAAGAGATGATGACAATGATACTGTTAGTCTGTTACGTTGCAGAGTAAGTACAGATAAAGAGGGAATAACTTCCCCTATTATGCTATATGAAATGATAACGTATGTACTTAAATGTTTTGAAAACATTAAAATGGTAGAGTGAGTGCTATTAGTGTTGGAATAATTAAGCATGTGGCCGGTCACGTTAAATCTTTATCGAGAAAAAAAATCTTTGGCTTAGTATTTACCAAAATGTTGTCGTTTAGAGTTTGTGTTTTGTCTGTGGATTAAGGCTGCTTGTTTTACTTGGTCAAGGTAGTTGGGTTTGTTGCTGAGTTTATGGGAGTGGG